GTCTTTAAACCTAAACCCACACCCCACAAACCCCCCCCGGTGGGGGGGGGCCCGGTGGGGCGGGGGGGGAGGGGGGGGCCGCGCGCGCGCGAGGGGGGGCGGGGCGGGCCGGACACCCCCCCGCCCCCAACCCCCCCCCCCCCCCCTGTAAACCACAAAACTAAGAAAAGGCCTAGGGCTGGAGGGGGGGGACGGCCCCGGGGGGGGGGGGGGGCCCGCAAAAAATTTTTTTTTCCCCTTTTATAAGGGGACCGCGACAAAAAAAAAAAGGGGGGCCCCCCCCCCCGGGGGGGGAATTTCCGCGGGGGGGGGGGGCGGCTCCCCTTCCCCCTTTTTTTTTTTAAATTAGGGAAGGCCCCCCGGGGGGGGGGGGGGGGGGGGGAAAAAAAGGGAAAAAGGGGCCCCCCTCTCCCCCCTCTTCCCCCTTCCCCCCCCCCCCCCCCCCCCCCCCCCCCCTTTCCCTCCCCCCCCCCCCCCCCAAAAAAAACATGTTAATAAAGCCGTCGTGCTGGAACGGTTCTGCGAAAAATGCTGATAATCTTAAGGCGGCAAACACCAGTCTCGGGGAGTTGCGTCTCGCCGGGCCCGCCAAAAAAAATATTATTCACAATGTAAGATTACCCGTTTTTGGGAGACGTGATGCAAAGGTCCCGAGACTTATTATAAAAAAAAAAAAAAGAGTCTTTAAACCTAAACCTAGATATCGCAACTACAACAAAAAACTTTTAAAATATTGACAGACCAAATCAAAATTAATCTCAGTTCAAATTAAATGCTATTAAGTTTTTTGTCATGTAATAGGAGGCAAACGGGCAGAAGGCTCATCTGATGTTAAGTGATACCGCCGCCCATGGAGACTCACATTGCCATAAGGCTCGCAAATTGCGTTGCCGGCCTTTTAAGAATTGGAACGCTCTTTTTTGAAGGACCCTAAGTTGAATTAGTTATTTAGTCGGCAGCTGGTTCTACATAGTGGTGGTGTGCGGCAAAAACTGCCTTAAGAAACGCTCAGTTGTGGAACGACGGACGTCGAGGTGATACGAATGGTATATATATATAATGTAAAAGAACCTATTGTTTAATAAAAAATTATCTAAAATGTCTCGCATTAACATAGTGAGTCGGAAATAGACGATAGAGGACTTATTGAAACGGTGCGATAAGCTGTTTCTTATGAATGAACAAACATGTCACATTAGTTCTATTAGACAGTACCACCACCTCACATGACATTCGACTCTAACATTTTATTGTTTGAAAGCATTAAAAATCTCTTGTTTCAGTTTACGTCTACAATTATTACATATGAAATTTTTGTTCTACAGTTAATGTATATTAATGAGTGAAATTTGAATATCCATTGACGATATACTAAGAAGTACACTGCATACTAAGACAATTACAATTAATTATTTAATAAACTGAGACAAGCTTAATGTTATTATTAAGTTGATTGTTATCACAGTGTTACTTTATTTTCTTTATATAACCTGTAGTAAATACTTGAATTCTGAATGACAATGCCATTTTTGAATAGGTTTAAGCTTTGCATTTAGAAATAAAACGTTATACGAAGTTTATAGCAAAGAGTTTTCATTGGTATTTGAAGCGCGTCACTTCTATAGTTCATTAAAATTTTTACTAGTCTGTTGCTGCGTCAGAATTGGCGCCAAGCTAAATGTTAGCATGAAGTTGATGGTTACCTCCGAGTTACTTTATTTTCTTTATATAAATGAACGTGTCGTAAATACTTGAAGTATGTGTGAATCAATGTCATTCTAGAATATTTTTAAGCTTTGAATTTCGAAATTAAACGTTTTACAAAGTTTATACCAAAGAGTTTTCATTACTGCTTTGCGTTGCTTAAAATTTCTATACTCAATTTTTACTAGTCTGTGGCTGCCTCAGGATTGGCGCCGATTAGACGTTTTTTAAAATTAACATTTTATTTGCTATAGATTCTGCGGATTATATAAAGTAGTGCATGAAATAATAAACAATATAATTACCGTTTTAAAATAATGGCATATTTTACTAAGCAAGCAGTTTAGGAACTTTTCTAAGTTATTTCTTAGTATTTGTCTTAGAATAGTTACATAAAAAATTATATGTTACGATTACGTGTGTGAATGTAGACACCGAACTAAGATATATTTTATGAAGACAGTTCACACGCGATTTGATTTATGAAGTGATCTATGTACGTAAGATTCGTTTTGTGAGACTGTCGGTAATAAACCGTTCATAAAAGAAGTTGTGGTAAAATATTGCGCAATGTTTACAAATGACACAACTATTGAACACGCGGAGTCATCTCGTATAATAATCCATAACATAATCCGCTGTTTGCAATAAAAATGTGCGTTATATAATTTTAATAAGTAATTATGTTGTAAATTTTCTGGACATTATGATTAAATGAAACAAAATATGATTTCTACGGGTGTTTTGATTGCAAGGAGGGGAAAGGAATTAATTGAGAGTAGGTTTGATTAGCTTGCTTGATTAGCTTTGATTAGCTTGAACAATGCGTCTATAATTTATTGTACAGTATAATATACGGGAAGATACGTTTCATACAACAAATATTAACAGCATAATAAAAGTAATAAAACATACATCATATTACTATATTCCTTCTGCGCAGGGTTTTTTGAAATGTATTTGTATCTATCTATCTATCAAATAGTCTTTAAAATAGTTGTTGTTTATTACTCGAAATAAATTATAAGTATTTTATTTGTGTATCTCAGGCAATCCTGTAATAGAGGTTCTTTTTTTAAACTTAATCAAGAAAAAGACATCAAATTATCGTCGCTTCAAATCTTGTCGGCGTGGCTTAAATTAATAATACGAATGAATAAATACTATATTGATTCGATTTAATAATTCAAAACCACAGGGTGTTGAGATTAATTTTTACGAAACTATTTGGTTTCTGTCGCGTCAATTTATCGACTGTCAAAACAAGGCAATACTTCAGTTTATTTTACTACTTTAAGTTCCGACGTGCCAAGTAAGACAACTTGCATAATACCTCTATAGCCTTGGAAATATTATAAGGAAAGGTTACAATGCATATTCGGAATTTTACACATAATTTTGGCTAAAACCACCAAAAACGTAAAGATTTATACGTCTGGTTTGACGATCGTTTTTTATTTATAAATGATAAAATCCTTGTACCTTTCGAGTCAAAAGGGTTGTAAGACGCCACACGTGACACAAATCCTGAAATAAGGTCTGAATTGAATTCTCGGCGAAATTATTTTAGTTCTTTTGAATTGAATTACATCGAAGTTCCATTGAAAAGTTTAGATATTTAAAATAACTAGCAGCGTTTATAAGTAAATACTTACTTGGAAAAACGAAAAATACAGATAAATTTGTATTAAAAAAAATTGCTTGAGAGAGCTTTGTTTTAACACCATTATGAACGACTTATAACTTCGTGGTGCAGTCAAACAAAATCGTTAACAGAATTATTCATTGAGCTCAGGTTGATATAAGGCTGCATATAAGTTTGTGCACAGGTGTTCCTTAGAACTTAATTCCAACAGGATTCTCGAGATAAATGAATTTCCAACTTTAAGCCGAGATTTGTAGCAAGTATAAAAAGTTCTATTTTTGAATTACTTTAGAGTGTTTTAAATTTAAATTTGTTCCTTTTTTGTCTTGAATGTACTTAAATTAAAACAGCAAAACTGTTTCAGCCTAAGCGTCTTGCGGGAAATTTATCGTGATGTTGCTTCTTAGTCTGTAATACGATGTGTACATATTATAGACAAACTTTTGTACGTGTATGCTGCTAAATTCAGAGCAGTGTTGCCCTTGTGGCTTAAGCGTGCGACTATCATCACTGAGATCGTAGGTTCGATCCCCAGCTGTTCTTTGACCAATGAACTTTCTTTCTATGTGCGTATTTAACATTCCTCGAATGGTGAAGAAAAACATCGCGAGTTTCATTCCATCGACTTGTCTTAGACCCAAGTCGACGTCGTGTGTCAGGCACAAGAGGCTGATCATCTACTTGTCTATAAGATTGACAAATCATCATAATAAAAATATATAAATCTGAGGCCCAGACCTAAAAAGGTTGTAGTGCCATTTATATTGCTAAATTTGTCTATACTTCTAAACTAAATGCTATTTAACAATAATAAATTAGACATGGTAGCAGAGATTTTTACAGAATACTCTTTGTTTAGTATATGGATTATTGAAATCTAGTTTGAATTGTTATAGACAAAAACAACAGATATAAACTGTATCGTCTATGTTTTTGTATCGACGCTAAAATTCAAAACGTTGATGTTATCTGTGATTTGATTTATGTACAAAGCAATTAATTTTTAATTAACATTTATCATTTCGACTCATTCAGTATTAGAATATTGTAGTGTGATGAAGTGTCAAAAAGTTAAATTTTCTTAAACAAAAAAGGGTTACTTACGTTTACACTAGCTTGACCATTGAAAACATTTAGTAACCCTTTCGGAGATAGATTTTTGCGATCTCTAGATTGATATATCTTTAGTATAAGTTTAAAAACTTTGAACAAAATATATTTCGGAGGGAAGCATGCCATTGGTGTCAGCTATTTGAAAAGAAACTGGTCATAATTTGTCTCCAACTGTAAAGGTATACGTAAGCTCAGGATTCAATGTTAAGTGATACCGCTCATGATGACTCTAACACTGCCAAATGGCTCGCGATTTAGTTGCCGGCTTATCATCATAATAATATTCGGGTTAATTGTAACTCAAACGATTTCTTAAGGTGTTTTATTAAAAAAAAATGTTTATTTTAAACATCCATCATTGGAGTCATATAAATTTAAATAACCTTTAACGGTAGATAGGTACTAAAAGGGGCAGTTCTTCTCCAATTTCTCTCATCTTCGCTACGTCAAACTTTTTCCCTATATGTTTTACTTCGTTCTTTATCGATTTTTACTTATTTAATATTAAAATTTTTGTTTAGTGCAAAAATATAGAAATATGGATATTATAAGAGAAAGGCCAACCTTCCAAAATGCGATGAAGTTAACCATTTTAATTGGCCAATTTTTTGGATTGAACCCCGTGCTTGGAATCACTAATATTGATACAAAAAGAGTGAGGTAAATTATTATATATCTTGAATTTTAATTTGTATGCACTAGATATAGCTAATTGATATGAATTTGAGGTTAACTTTTGTTGTTAAGCGACAACTTTTTCAACTTCGTTTACTTCCTAAAGAAAAGTTTTATTAAGAAATTGATGTTGAAGGTGTACTTATAGATGCTTTTTTTTCAGGTTTTCATATATATCAGTTCGTAGTATCTACAGTATTTTGACAATTGTAGGACAAGTTGTGGTGTTTTTACTCTGTACAACATACATAGTAATGTATTCAGATACATCCCTTCATTCTATAAGTAATTAATTCATAATAATTATAAATAACATTTACATCGAAGAGAATTACCTTAGAAGTCCAAATTCCTATTATTAATAGTGATACTTAATAATACATCAGTATGAATTATTTCAATTCTATTCATAAATCAAGCATTTTTTTCGCTTCGTTCATTTGAATTAATAATTATTCACAATAAGATGCAATATTCTGGTAATTTGCAGTATTTTATAAAAACGAGACGTAAGTTAATAGTAACTAATCGTTTATTACCAACGGTTATTAATTATAATATATTATCACGCAAATAAACTTCACATATTTAAATTTAAGATTTTGTTGCTTAATTATATCAACAATAAGTGAAGAATTTAAAATTCTCAAATGTAACTTTAGGTAGTTTTATAATTTAAAACAGGGGGCTAACGGGCAGGAGGCTCATCTGATGTTAAGTGATATCGCCACCCATGGACACTCTCCATGCTAGCAGGCTGACGAGTACGTTGCCGGCCTTTTAAGAATTGGTACGCTCTTTCTGGAAAACTCTAAGTCGCAAATCAGTGGGCAGCTTATTCCACAAAAACTGCCTTAAAAAAGCTCAGTTGTAGAACGACGGACGTTGAACGAGCCCTTTACTTTTTATACATTCATAAATTATTTTCCGAGTATGTACAATATGTCGACATCACTTATATTCATTACAGGTGACTAACTTTATTTAACACTGAAATTTAACCCATACGTACAGTTTTTTTTTAGTCTCGCCTTGCAAACCCTCTAATTTTATGATAGTTAAAATCTCTTGTTTTAAACGAATAAAAGCAGTTGACACTAATACCTCTGGAACTTATTTTGATATCTTGCAATCAAACATTGCTAGAACTAGTTTTTAATATATTTCAGCCTCAATGGTGTTTGGAAGTTCGAATTGTATTACAACAATTTTATTCTTTCGTGCTGCTACCAAATGGCCCAAATTAATGAATTATATCACTAAAGTTGAGACAATATACCCAAACATTGATGGAGCATTCGTAACAAAATGTAATTTGTCATGTATCATTGTTTTGACATTGGCTTTAGGTGAGTTTTTTAATGTTATTTCCCAATTTTTTAAATAGTAGGTGCAATTAAAAATATTGTATGTATGAATTTGAGTATATGTTGGAGCAATGGCTCTATCAGCCATTGTAATTATAATTTAATAATATCAAAGGTAAATTACTTCAAAACTGTTAAGTGGTGTATTCCATTTGCCAATATTAAAGATCAGCAACTTTACAGACTATTTAATAGTTTGTAGTAATAGTAAGTTCAGTGACTAATAGTGATATTGCTCCGATATAAATATAATTTACAACTTTAAAGAAATAACATTGTAAACTTGTTCTTATTCAAAACGGGAAATACAAAATAACAATATGTGCGCTATGAATTTTTAGACAAATAATAAAAATATTTCTGCGTGAGATTATGTTTAGTGTTGATTCTTCCCAAATAACAGTAACACTCTGAATTATATTTACGCATCACTGTTCATCGTCTGAAAAAGAAATCAAAATCAAATAAAATATTATCTTACACTTAATTTTATCTATAAAGGACTTATATTGCTTAATTTTTTTTAACTCTGAAACCACAAAGATAAGCAATATTAGATGCATTGTGAAATGACGTTCATGCTACGTGATTTTGACAATATGCTACGCAATGTTGCTACGATGTGCTGCGTAGCAAAGCAACGCTCCGTTACGCCTGGCTTATTAAACCAAACAGTTAACGTGAAAATTCCACGCTTCTTTAAGTATATCTAAGCGTATAGTGTGTCTACATTTATAGACACATTACAGTGAATGGTGAAAGATATTTTTTTCTAAACCTACTCAATTTAATATAATGGTGGTCCCAGAATTAACTAGCCTGGATATATATCAACGACGTGTCGATAGATACTCATACATTGGATGTGTTTATAACATGCGTCGTCATGGATAGCGTTTCAGCAGTGATTTGAATTTAGAACAAAAATAGTTGTGTTTTTTTTACACAATGTCGGAAACAGAGTATCAAGTTATAAATGTTTGTTTAAAGGCTTATCTCCAGCCCAAATAATGATTAGATTAGCCCTAATAGATGGTGTATGCATGGAGACTTGCCCTACCTATAGCTGAGTAAACAATTGGGTAAAAGAGTTTTACCTCGGGGAGAAACCGTCGAAGACATCGGAAATTCAAGAGCTGTTTAGTGACCGCCGTGTAAGATTAGACTAATTGGTAGACTTGGGCTTAGTATTGGAGATTATATTGAAAGATAAAAATGGTTTACTTTTATTTTCTTTATGATTTCATAGTTAGAGTAGTTCATTTCGGGACGTGTGTTCGTTCATTCATTGATATACGTATTTATGGTTTCAACAAACGGACTAGATTGTTAGGCAATTAAATAAAATTGTTTTAAAATATAATGATTATTACAATAACTTAACTTATGAGAAATAAAGCGTAAAAGGCTATACAAATATTAAGCGATGAACTTAGGACATACACTTTTTTTGTTTATAAAACTCCATGTATCGTATTCATTATAATAATTTCAGTGGAACATGTTCTAGCCGATTTCTCTAAAGTAATATATGTCATGGACTGCCCAAACCCAAAATTGGACACTTATGGTGGATTTATTATGCATAGCTTCCCCTGGATCTTTACGGTTATTGAATACAAGACCTACTTAGGGATATTTGTACAGGTAATCAAATTTAACACGTATGTTCTGCTAATAATAAAATTTCTGTAGCACTACAACCCTTTCATAATTTTTTTCCATAGACATTATTATATTATATTTCTTGATCTAAAGCCTTTTTCTTCATGATATTTTATGTATGACCTGTTAATTGAGTACGGTAAATCTTTAATACGCATTTAAATAACAAAAATACTTTATTACTGACAAGAAACACATTGCTTAAAAGCCTATTGCACGACACAGAGTTAGGAGACGCACGTTTAAGCCAGAAGGCCGACATTTTATAATTAACAGTCTTTAGTTAATATTTCATACAATCTTTCAGTTCATAAATATACAGTGTACATTTAATTGGAATTTCGCAAACTTATTTGTCATCTGCGTGAGTATATACTTGACATCACGATTAGAACAAGTTAATAGGAAGATATTGGAAGCTAAAGGCAAGGTAATGTACATAAATATATAACTTGACAATCGTTTTAAAAAACACACAATATTGTAATACGCAATCATCAATTTTGCAGCAGCAATTCGGCTCATGAAGATTATTCGAAATTAAAATATTATATAAATGAAGATTTTTTGTTCGTTATAGAATCTTTTGACGATATGTATATGTATGACAATAACCCTCTACTCGGGCATGGGTTAGCCACATTTCTGGGTCTGTTTAATTTTTTTCCCATACAAGGGGCCGTCTGTGCCTGACACATCATGCGGTTTAGCGTAACCCAATACTTTTTGATACACAGGAGTATCACTGAACTCTATGTCACGACTTTAAATTTGAGGCTAAGACTCGCGAATGTCCTTCTGTACCAGAATGTATTGAGTATATTTAAAGATAATATTGGCTTACACTTCAAATCTTCAGCTTCAGAATTGTTACCAACTTGGTCTACAATTCTATAAAAAATTATGAAGTTTGCGCTAGTTGTAAACAATTTTTTGCAGTTTATACCGAATAGCTTTTGGCGTAACATGAGAGAGGAGTACAACCGGGCGACGAGCCTAGTCCGACGATTGGATGACGTAATAGGCGGAATCATTTTCATATCGTTTGCAAATAATTTATTTTTTATTTGTTTACAATTATTAAATACTCTTGCGTAAGTATTGACTCGTAAAAACATAACTGTAGCACACAAATGTCCTTTTTTTAAACTAACCTAAAAATTTTACATGCGATATTTCTTTAAATATTTTCAAATGTTTTTCTCCATAGAAACCTACCTTACCAGAGTCCAAGAAGTAAATCAAAAACTTACTCGAATTGGTCTTGTAGCAAGTTTTGCGAAACATATTTTACGATTGATTTTTATTTTATAGGTTTTCAACTATTTTATTTCAACATATTATGTAACTCACAACTCAGACTCTTCTTCTTCTTCTCTTGGAAAAATATTTGTATGAAGCTGCTAACAAATTATATTATTACATTAATTAACTTACAAAGCGATACTGCAAGATAAAATGTTTCAACACAATGAGTGTTGATTAAGAAATACACCAAAAAGAGGATACAATATTTTTTATCAAGTGGCTTGTTATTTTCACAAAGTATGTTTATTGCCTAGCTAATACAAGTGAACAATATTCATGGAATATAAATTAAAGGGTTCAAAGATACCAAAGGGTTGGGAAAATACAGTTAAACACGTATAATGTATATTAGCATTTTATATGGTATCTTATAAACTGATTTTAGTGTTAAATTGGTTGAACAGCGTAATGCACATAAAAATAATGATAAAAAATTTAGTAGGTTCAGAAATGTCTTCGAATAGACTCTAAAAACTTAGCGTTAATTGTGATTCGTGATTCTTTTCGATGAAGTTTAGCCTTTAGGTTTTTTTTAGATAATGGTTTGGTAATTGGTTAAAAAAATACCCGTAACAATTTAGACAATATTTTTTTACTTAGTTATGCACTTTTTGCACTTTGGTTTTAGTTTTTTCCCTTATTAGGGTAGCCAGGAAGAGATCGCTCGTTAGCGATAAGGCTGCCCGTTGCCTTAGTAATAATAACTTATGTTACCTGATTGTATATGAATACCTCTTCATAAAATTAAACAATTTCTAATTTTACATACATTTAAAATTTCCGAATTAATTAATTTATGAGTTCTGAAAATTTAAAATTAAATTATATTTCAGAGACGGCATAAAAGCTTTGCCATCATGCAATATTGGCGCCGATGAGAGGTAAGGTTTACTGACATATCGCATAATTTACAATACATTGATCTTTTTACAACTTCCAGGCCCCTCAAAGGTTACGAACAAGCAGTGTATTTTATGTATTCCTTCGTGTTCCTTGTGATGCGGTCACTAGCTGTGTCGTTGATAGCGGCAAGAGTTTATTCTGCAAGCAAAGAGCCAGCGTTTGCTTTGTATGAAATTCCACCTTCTATGTACTGTACTGAGGTAAGGAACAAACCATGTACTTCAGTATTATAGTTTAATAACTTTTGGTCGACTCACTCACGCGAACAATAACAAATTGTGCGCGAGTATTTTAGCAAAGTGCGCGCACAACTGTGCACATGTGTGCGGGCACTCGGTACAAGAATTGGACTCGTGTCGACGCGCACACACGCGCTGTTCGCGAACTCAGTTTTGCTTCTGCTTAGTAGCTATGCCAAGCAATTTTTTTAATGTAATTTTTTTTTAATTTTATATTACACAGGACAACGTTTTTCTGTTTGTCCATATTAGTAACTGTTGGCAGAAAATCTTCTCAGTAAACAAGTATGCAACACTGTGCGCGCACAAATGTTACACACAGCATTGCCGGTGGAGATAGAAGCCAAACGCGATATGCACTTAGTACGTGTTCTGCTATTGTTTTGTACCAAATGTTTGTAAAAAATGCTATTTTGGTGGAATCGTACCTTTACGTTCTTAAACTCAGTTGGGTTCTCACTTCCTTCAATCTAAAGGGCCTCTTACTAACCAAACTCAAACTCAAAATAACCTTATTTATATAGGTAAACAAGTACACTTATGAACGTCAGAAAAAAGGTTAAATTAATTTTAAATTTACATTTACTACCAGTTCGCAAGAAGAACTGGCAAGAAACTTTCCGCCACTCTTTTTAATCGCTAAGTTTTAAGTCATACAAATTTTTGAACTGGAGCCAATCAATCCCAAGGATGAGGATCATTTAAATATTCGTCAAATTTATAAAAAGCTTTATTGATTAGATTACGTTTAACGAGAGCTTTGAATTTATTTAGGGATAATTCTCTAATTTCACTTGGGAGTTTGTTGTAAAACGAATACAATTTCCATATAAGGAGTGGTTTATCTTCTGGAGCCTAGTTGGCCACTGACTGGAAGTCCCCAGTGGATAAGTTCTAGGAGTTACATAATGGAATAATTTCGTTAGCGCGTTTCAGGGTTGGTCGCAGTTTGTAGGTGTAGAACTAAAAAAAATGACCGTAATAATTATTTAGAAATAAAATAAATAGAAATCAAAATCGTGCCTCGGACACTCCAGTTTTCTGTCCTAAAAATCTGTTATTGAAATAGGTTACAAGAGATCTTTGTGTCTATGTAAATGTCTATGTGACGGAAACCGGTTTGCGTTAGACCCAAAAAGTCTACGTCGTGTGTGAGGTACAGGAAGCTGATCACCTACTTGGCTATTAGATTGAAAAATGATCATAAAATAGATACAGACATCTGAGGCCTTAAAAGGTGAGGCGCCACTGATTTATTTATATATTTACACGTCTATGTATTTTTGTGAATAAATAAACAAATGTTTGGTATGAACATGGCCAGTTGCAATAATAATAAGACCCAGTGTACAGCCTTGAGTACATTATTACAATTAATTAAATCCCTTTGAACGTGGAAGAAACGTATCAAAGTTGGGCAAGATAATCTACGGAAATCCCATGTGATGAACTAGTTTGATAACTTCCCCAAATATTAAATTACTATTATAATTTTAGGTTCAAAGGTTCCTTGATCAGGTCCATGGAGAATCGGTAGCCTTGAGTGGTCTTCGCTTCTTTCAAGTGAAACGGGGATTGGTTTTGACAGTGAGGTTTTATAATTTATAATTATCTACATATTTTAACACACGTACTTTAAATTATTCCGCTTATTCATAAAAACTAAATGACACTGCTGCTTTCGTCTTTTTCTATTGTGTTAACACCCTCATGAAGAGAGATAGAAAATTTTACTTAAAACGCAATTGGACTGATAAACCTGCCAACATGATTTGACAAGTTACGCGACGCAGACTATTGTCAAAAAAATCTCTATAAAATTTTGTATTAATAGTACCTTAAGTAACTCCTGTAAATTCGAATATATTTAGTTATTTTAACAGCGCTTAATACATGCTGTGTTAGCTATAAAAGTGTGTAAAAAATAGTATTTTCTTTTATTGACATAACTTTTAGACATAGAAAAACACTTTTTAACGGATTTGAAGTTATGTTTTATTATAAATTTACAATTATTTCACCGTGACCACGCACGCTGTAAAGCACGCGAAACGTCGGTTAAATTTAAAATTATGTAAAATAATTGTAAATTTATAGTAAAACATATCTTCAAATCCGTTAAAAAGTGTTTTTCTAGTGTGTAAAAAACTTTTACGTCATTGTAAGCAATATTGTAAGTTATGTTTTAAGTAATTATATATGTATCGTATCTACAGATTGCTGGAACAATAGTCACATACGAGCTGGTGCTGCTACAGTTTGGAATTAAGCCGACTGTACCTAAACATTAAACAAATATTACAAAATAGTTTTTGTACTTTTGATCCCACATTAGATCTTCATTTTTCGATAACAACTTGTGACATAATCTTTTATACTTGTGAAAGATTATATTGATTTACGTGTAATTTATAGACTATACTCTGATTTTTCATTCTATAGAATTCTGACATTCCATAAGTGTTGCTACAAAAAAAGTTCCCGACAGAAAAGGGATAAATTTTACTTATTTGAGGGCAATAAAAAAATGCTATGTATTTTTATGTGTTACCTACAAAAAGGTAAATCTAAATATTTACTTACTCAAGTGACCTAATACAAAAATAACAAATATTTCAATATCACGAATAATATATCGAATTAACTTTAGCTGGCATTACTGCCTACAGGTTTAGTAAACATTAAAAAAAAAATTACCTTTACTTGTGCGTTTTTTACTGTTTGTGATGAAAAGGGTCGTAATTATCACTCGCCGTTAAACCACTTTTAATGTGGAGATTAACTAAAAATAAAATGTATGTATATACTCATGTTCAAACTCGTATTGAAATTGAAAAATGTGCCCGGCCAAAACGGTTTGCCATCTCTGACATTTCAAAAAATGATAGCTGTCAGAATTCTACGGACATTAATGTTTCAATACAATTTTGTAGATTTCAGACAGTTTTTTAGACACGGAGTATAATAATTTGACTAACAGTTGTTTTGTTCCATGTTTAAGTAATTTTATTTATTTATTTATACTTCATTGCCATAATACACATAATTATACATATAGAAAAAAAACAAAAATTAAGTTGGTTACATATTATGTTATTAGGCAACGGGCGGCCTTATCGCTAACAAGCGATTTCTTCCAGGCAACCCTAAAATGGAACACTAGAAAAAATAAGAAACACCTACAGAGGGTAGTGTAGAGTACAAGAGATGCATAATTAATTAACAAAAAGATACTAAAAATAACATGCAACTATAACTAAAATTAAATAAAATAAAATCTAAAGAAAAGTTATAAATAATAGTATGTATAAACAGACATGAAAAAGCTCAGCCTAAGGTTAATTGACTCACAATTAATATATAATTACTAATCACGAGGCAGAAAAAAGATGATCAAAAAGGAGATTGTATAATCTTATTTTATCTTGTATCTCTTGCACTTATCTTACTTAATTGTTATCCTCACAATGGATGCCTGAAAGAGATAGCTCGAAAGCGATAAGGCTGTCCATTGCCTTCTTTAATGTTTAATTCGTTTAACTGTGCTATAATTACAACGAAGTGTAAATTAATAAACAAAATGTGTATTGGAACGTGTTGACGTGTTGTAACAAAAATATTATATTTTGGTTTACGGAGCTAGATACAGGCGTTAAGTGTTCTATCGGGTGTTTCAAACTCATGTTTTATATATTCATGTGTGTATTGAATACCTACGAGTGTATCACTAATCGAATCGTACACACAATAGCCCCAAATAGTGAAATCGTTTTGTCACGTATATTTGTTACGAGGGCATTAAAGACAAAACATTATTTTGTCTGGCTTTTTTTTAAATATACAGGTAGGTGATCAACCTTCTGTGCCTGACACACACCGATGTTTTGTGAGTAAAGCATGCGGGTATCTTCACCGTAGGAGCGAGTATTTAAAAACGCACATAGAAAGTCCATTTTTGCACAGCCAGGGACAATACATATAAAATACACTAATTCAGTCCAAAGGAAATTTATAGATTCATGTTTAATATTGTCTCTTCGTAAAGCAGAGCGAAACTGTATACGAAACGGCCACGGTCCATGTCAGAAATAATAATAATAATAAAGCTTGTTTAATTTCCAATCATGACAAGAAAACAAATTATAATACACAGCTTAGATTATGTTACATTTTTTTTTCTTTTTGCTTGTTATCCTATTTCCTAGTTTCCTTCAGTACCGTCGATCGGAACCTCTTCACGGGTCCCTCCCTCCTCCTCCAGCAGACCTCCTCCAGCTTTTTCCAACTGACTCTGTCTAAGGCTCTCTTTCTCCATTCGTTTCCTGCTACCGCTTCTATTTCTTCTATCCACCTTTTTTTTCGGCGACCTCTTCTCCTTCTTTCTCTTGGTCCTTTCCGTAGAGTTGTCTTTGAAGTCCACCTATTATCTGTGTATCTTGCTATATAGCATGTCAGAAATAACCTGCTAAAAATAACTTGTAATGTTTTTTAAATATCCACTATAAAATACATTATTAAATATTCTTTTGATAACAATTTAACTTAATATAATCTCATGGCTGATTGAGCCGTACAAGTACAACGCGTTAAGAAAAATGGCGAAAACTAAACGCAAATAGCGTTCTTGTATTCGAAATGAAAAACAAAATTGCCTTTCTCGGAGTATATGTGTTACGGTTTTAACTTTTGTGCTACTTTATAAAGTCCATTTGAGCCCTTTTCACTGTCCACTTTGTGTTTTGTTTTATCTTAATGATAATATATTCGAGCTTTGGGGTGAAAATTAGCTTTTGAAAGCTACATAAAACATTACGGGGAATGTCCTTATGGAGGTTGTATATACATTGATTGTTTTCGTGGTCCTCTAATTCAAATATATATTTTAATTGAATTGAAGTTTTGGAAGAACATATTCTATTATAACCCGTATACCTTTAAAATGTAAACCTAAACTGTTTCCTTCACATCTTCAGAAGAAGACAACTAGTTTTTCCAAAAAAAAAATTTCAGAGTTCAAGGAATAGATAAAAAAATACTCAATTTGTTCCAACCGTCTTCGAGTTTCGCGCATACATATTTAAAGATTCATTTTTATTTATGAAGTCAAATATTATCCAATAAAAGTATTAATCATTTATTTACTATGAAAAGTAGAAACTGTTGTATATAACTTATTATGCTGTTACTATACCACTGTTATTAAATAATAATACGCAATATTTTCCCGAATTTGATAAATATAAAATATAATAACAATAATATAGCCTAATTTATTCCTTGGAACATTCATAATATTTTATAAATAAATAAATATAATATATATATATATATGTATATATTCCATGGACCTCTTGTAGAGTATAGGCCTCAACTGGTCCCATCTTTCTATCTTGAGCAATTATCTCCCAATCTTCTTCAACAAAATACGAAATATAGGATATTAAAAAGATGTCGATTATTTTTAATATTATCTGATTAGACTGCCAGAATTTAATTTAACTTGTGTTTATTGGAAATGCAGATTTCGCACACTGTTTCGTTTCTCTTTTGTACCTTAACATAAATCTTGGAGATAAGACTAACTTGTGGGGGCTCGCCAAATAATGTACTTTCCAGCTAATGTTTTGGAAAGTTGTATAGAATCTTTTAAATAACTTTCGGGTACAGTTTTTTATTGATTTTTAGCGTAACATGAATGCTACAAAACTGACGCGTTTATGTTTTTCTTAATTCCTATTCCATCCAATTACTGGCTTTTAGCTGCAGCAAAGTTTTGCTATATTTGCTATTAGCCAGAAAACACTATATTAGCATAGTAGAAAATGCTTTTTTGTACTTTCAAAAACTATACTCAAATAATTTTACAAACATATTATATAAAATTTTCGTGTTCATTGTACGTTCCCATACTCCTCCGAAACGGCTCGACCTATTCTGATGATTTTTTTTTGTATATGCAGTAAGTCTGAGAATCGGCTATTATCTATCTTTCAAACCCCTAAGTGATAAGGGGTGTCCACTCCAAAAAAATTTTTTTTGTTTTTTTTAAATTATTAAGTGGCATTAAAAAATACATACAACACTAAATTTTCACCCATCCACGATCAACCCCTATTTTTCATCTGTTACGTAAAAACTTATGAATTCTGAGGTTTATATAGAGAAAAATTCACAGAAAAACCTAAAAAGTTTTCATTCCGGAAAACCGAACAGCCTCTGGGGTAGCATAGCAAAATGTTCCATGTTGGTATGTACTAAAAAGGTAGGGGAAGTAAAATCACATTAAGGAGAAATAAAGTTCGCGGGAGCAGCAAGTACACATATGACATAAGGTTAAAACTAAAAGACAATTTTACAAGAGCTTTATTACACTTATTTCTCGATAGTACGGAAGTACTAAGCTACAAGTACGTGCGGCAACAAGCATCTGTGGCATTGTGGCAACAAAATTGGAAGATTTAAAGGCTTTGTGCACTGAGCTGATGCAAAATTAACTACACACTCGGTAAAAGTTTATTCATGAGTTAATGTACAATCACGATAACATTTAAATATTTTTTAGATAATATACAATTATTTTTTATTTATTTTAATTCAAAATAGTTTTAAACGTATCTAGCAAAAAACAAATTGACCTATCATAGTTTAAGCTATTTTTAATTTTATTTCGTTGGCAAAATAGAAATATTGACAAAACAAGTTCAAGTTATGCAATTCTTATAGGAACAGTTTATTAGATAAACCATTTATTGACGCAATTTTACCATTAATTTATTTATATTTTTTTTTATGGAACAGGGGGAAAACGGGCAGGAGGTACATCTGAAGTTAAGCGATATCGCCCACTCTTGGACACTCTTAATGCGAATCGCTCGCGAATGCGTTGCCGGCCTTTTAAGAATTGTAACGCTCATTTCTTATAAATATTTAAGAAGCCTGAACCTCCAAACTAGTTCACTTTATGAATACATTCTTTTGATTTTGGAACATATTTCATACTATTGATACTCTTTGAAAGGGGTACACGATCAAGACCGCAAAGTAGTCAACAAACTAATAAAACATCATTCAAGTTTATAGCATAATAAACTTTGAAAGTGTTTATCTATATAAAGGCAATTCAACATCACGTGTTAATATTCTCATAAACTAACGCTTTCTATGAAATATTTGATACGTAGACTATAAAAGGAGAAAATGCATTAAACAGATAACCTTAGGCCAGAACATTTATACAATAGAACCGCTATAATACGAACTTCAAGGGAGATGCTAAAAAAATCGATGGAGGAATTTAACTTTGATCCAACTATTAGAGGTATTTATCATTTTTAATTTGAGAAAGAGACGTGAAATATGAATCCTTAAAGTAAATAATGTATCTTCGAACTAAAACGGAATAAGTTTCAAATTATCGTAAAAATGTTGTAAAATAAATCATTGCTATTTTCAAGATCCCAATTTAATTTTTCCAGTTATAAAGGGATAATATATACCAAAACCAAAATATGATGATATAATAAACGATGCACACTTGAAACAATGACTGAACCTACTAGAAAGAGATAGGCCGAAAAAAGATTATATGACGTAATAGAACTAGCTGGGAAAAACTGTATGAATGCTCAAGACAAAGAAAATGGAAAAATATGGAGGAGGCTTTTACCCTAAAAGGGGCCATACAAATACAAATACTAGAACACTAACAAAAAAAAACCTTAATTTTTAGAACGTATACTAAGAAATGGTTACTAAACAATTAATTAATAAATTTGTAACAATAATAATATGTACAAAACGGCTCTCTCATTAATAATTTTTACTAGTGTTAAGATTTCGAGTAATGGCTAAGACTTGAAGGAAAGGGAACAATAATTTTTTGGACTTTTGGAGGTTTTCCACTTATCGAGGTTCGACTTAAAGAGGTTCTACTGAAATAATATCTAATGACTAATGAACTAAATGACTATGGGATGGACATGCAATTTTTTAAAATAATTATTTATAATTTTTTTCAATTCAGTTTTCTTTATATGGTTTTGTCTATTGATGTGCTTATTTGTTTTATTTTTCGTATATAATATTGTTTATTTATGTAATCTGTTTTGGCTTTCTGTACCGTCTAAGTGTTTGTTTTATAATATTATGTATGTTAGCTGTAAGATTTCTTATAATTAAATAAATAAATAAATGATTATGTATGCTCAAGTATAGCTATTCCGTCCATGGCCTAACCACACAGATTGAGGTGTCAAATGACGAATTAATCTGCTTTTATTACCTATATACAAATTAATTATCATTTAATTTGGTAATGCAAGTGCATTTTGGAGTCGGTTCATTTTTTGTATCATGGTTTAAACTAATATTATAACAAACAAACATATATCAATATTTATATAATGAGTTTTGTTGGTAATTGACAAACTCTAAAACTATTGAACCGATTTCAATAACTCTTTCGTCTATATAAAGCTCACATCAGACAGTAACATAGACAATAGTTACAATGATCAAAAGCGGCTGGAACTCTATGAAAAAAGTGCCCTCTTTGAAAGTTTATCTCTGTTTGGTTTCAATTGAAAAATGTTTGTGTTGCATAGACCATACCTCTACGACCGAATTAATACGGGTAAAATCGCAGAACCCTGTATAATTCTTTGATACGATATCAAATATGATTTTAATGGGTTAAAAGTGAAGTTGCATGATAGTAAACGTTTACTGGCCGTCAGTAGTAGCATATTCGTGTTGATTCGCAAGTGTTTGGCACGTGTTTGTTATTTTAACTGAGGACGGCAAATATTGTTTGATGCGTTCATATATTTACGAAAACCAACGCTTTTATCTACAATATAAAGTATATTTTTTCGTATATAAACAAGGTATGTTTCACAGTAATTTGAACAACGTTTAATTAAAGTAATTGGGCGCTTAAATTCTCCATTAATTTTCATTCCTAATGAGCAATTACGCAGTTATCTCTTATTAAAATTGTTACACGACTCCTTGCAATATTAATATAATTACTAAGTCCTAGGATCAACCATGGAATAGATAAATAAGGTTGGAACATTAATCAATCGCATTTATTTTAGAACCAATATAGGCGCATTGACTAAATGATATTTTTTTAAATGTATGATTGTGTAATCAAACTTATTAATTAGCATTCGCTTTTGTCACTTTCTTCAATCATTTTGTTTCGTATTTATATAGCGGAAACAAATCTCAAAATGATTTGGTATCTAATAAAATAATTATATTTCTTTTATATTGTGTATTATCTGTCATGTGTCAAAACTCACGTTTCATTAATTATAATATTGAGAGTTTGTTAGTCTGTGGAAAAAAAAGACGCGTACGTTTACAGGTATATAAGACCTGTCCTCTTTGGATTAATTTTCTTTTTGCGAGTATCACTGTTTAATGTTGACACATTATTCTCGAAAATCATAGATTTGAATCCTCCCAAAGTCTACGTTCTAAAAGTAACAGAATGATTACCCTTTACTTGGCTATAAAAAGAAGTGATCAGTGAAATTGGCTTAGGTTGCCCCATGCCCAAGTATTTGCGGAAATTTAAGTGAAAGCTAGGAAATAAACAAACTTTATTCATTTAAATGTTTCTACAAATTAGCCCTATTTATGTACTTAATATAAACTGCACGTTTATTACCCTCTCATATATTTTTGAAACGAAGAATTCGGTGGTCATAAATTGTAAAAGCGGCCATTATTGTCTTAGCGAACAGTAGCTGTTTATTTTGCGAAAAATATTTACTAATTTTCCTTTGATAACTTTTAGGAAAATGTTTTTATAATAAAAGGATATTTTGTTAAAAGGTTTAGTTTTTTGTGCTGTTAGTATTGAAAATGATCGTTTATTAAATAATAGTTCATTTAAACTTCCAATTCTCGTCTCCTGGACCCAAAACTCTAAACAATAGATTATTTATCAATCATTTATTAAATTATAACTACGCCGTGGCAACAAATTGACTTTTGATTCTAAATAGAATACAATATTTAACTTAACTGCGTTGCCATGGCAACCAATTACGCTTATTAATATCCAATACCCAGTTCGTTACTGTTAATAGTAAGCCACCTCAGTTCCCGGTGAAGTCGGTCCAAACGATCCCTGTCATCTGTGGCTCTCGCTTCTCTCCACTGGGCTTCCTGTAATTATGATCTGTTTAATTAAGACGATAAAACGATATCAACAAAGAGCCTGTATCTATCTAAATTCAATCACGAAGTGTTAGGAAACAAAGTGAGCTTCTTTACCGGACTTTTAATACTGGTTTGATCTAGATATGTCATAGATCTTTGCTGATACATTGGACTCACCCGCGTTTCGTCATAGCGTGAATTTATAGCAATAAGTAAACTATTCAATACAAAAAAAGCAATTCGAATCAGTATTTTCAACGAATCGTGCGTTAAACGAAAAACCCTTCAATATTATAATATCTAATTATTCCCCAGAGCTGGCACTTTCCTCGCTCAACGAATAAGTATCGCAATACAGCGAGGAAATGCTGCCAGCATTAAAGGTACTGCCACAGGGAGCAAACTTTTTAAATTTGTTTTGATTTTCTTTTTAATTATTTTTATTATTACTTTGTAATTTAAGAAAATTTTAAATACTGTATTCTTGATTGTAAATAAAAATAGTATATATACCCTATATATATAGAAATTAAGTATTCATAAAAATATATACTTAATTCCTAGGGTTAACACAGCTGTAAAAACTTGGGTAAGACCAAAGCCATTTTTCATACGAACTATGCAAACGTCGGCACTTAATTGCCATTCATAGAATTCCTGTACAATGCACTTTACCTCAAACCGTCTGTCATATACGTCTGTACGTATATCCTTAGTTCGCCTGTAGTTCCTGTCCATTATAACATTCCTTCGCCTAACTTCGTTCATTGGTATAACGTCCCGTCTCCCAACGGCCATATTGTTCCTTCCATAGCCCTCATACTCGTAAGATAAAACTCCGAATATATTCAAAATAAGAACACTAGCTAGGTACTGCATTGTTCTAAGTGGAATAGAGTAGCGTAAGCGAATATAAGAAAATATCTAAAAGTTGAAAAATGTCATTTTAATATTGCAGATTACAGAACAATTCCTTAATTTTAAATTGTTTGCGAAGTAGCATTTATATAATTCTGTTGTAAATACTATATAATGAAATGTATTCCGGGGAATAAACGAGGTCGCTTTCGTTGATTATTTAATTACATTAATTTACTCGGTTATTAAATCTCCAACTATTCACAATGTTTTAAATGTATTAGGGTAATATTCAAGCGAGACTTAGCTAGAACCTGACTAAATTTAAAGTAAGTAAATGCCTACCTGTATTATTAGGTAGCATGCGGTTTAGATCTCAGAATCTCTCTTCTTTCTCTTAGAAAACCGTAAGCTTGGACCGTCACAAAGGTAATAATTTAATTAAAATTATACCGACTTAATTTATGTTTTTAATAATTTTTTAGACATATAAAAATAAACTTCACTAACTTCCTTCACTCTTACATCCACTATCGAATATTTTACGACTTCAATACTCTCAGTTTATTAGGTTGATATAAAAATTTTATGATAGGAATTTGATCATTCGATTGCTAGTTTTCGATAGAACAGCTCGCGGTTATAAAACTGATTAAAATGAACCGAAAATGTTCTTCCCTGCTGTTAATGCGACAATTTCTAACTTTTAGACACATAGTAAACGCTCATTTCTTGAAACATAACTGAAACTGCAGTAGGTACAAAAAATCAAGTAGGGGGCGTTCAAGTATTACGTAACGTATTTTGGGGGTTTCCTTTCGTAAAACGTTACAATGCGGGACGCGGATTGAATTACGCGTTATTGTTAATATTATTTTCGACTTTTCGACATAATGGTAACTTTTAGGTATAAAGAGTCACTCAGTCACAAGAGACCACCAATGTCACGAACTGTTTTACTATTGGGTACAGAAAAACATTACGGCGCGTTACATGGGGGGTAATAATCTAAATATATTATATATATATATAAACAAACGATTTTATTATGCAAGACAAGACCGTTACTTGATTATATTGGGTATAAGTTTAATGTTCTACTATATTTATTTATTTCCTATTTGTTTCAGTAACTGATTCTGAAACAAAACATAAAACCTACATATTTTTTAATTATAAATAATTCAACTCTTACAAATTCAGCCAGTGTGCAACTAAATGTATCCGTCTTACATGAAATAATGTTCAGGGTGCGTAAGACACGCGTAAATGGCGCATATAACAATATGCTTTAAGTTTGTTTTATTACAATTATTATTGATTTGTTTATGGCAGGTAATAATTGTCAAAGTTATATAATGACTTGACGTAAACGTCTTATTAAATCTTGTTAAATTTTTGATAATAATTGTTACTTTTTTTATAAATACCAATCAGTTTTAAAAAACACGTTCTTTGACGAGTTTGAGGTATATTTATATCGTTTAAGGCTGTAAACAATAAAATCAATAGATAAGTATCTGCCAATTTTGAGGGCACCTATAATTACTGACACACGCAAAGCTATAATTTCCATGTAGTGGGCTTGGTCCTATAACCTGTACGATTAATGTATTACTGTTTACATTAATCTAAATTATCATTATTCGTATAAGTTTGGAATTTCTTTAGTATTTTTTTTCCTTTATAACATTGATACGTAATATGTGGAGATTTCTAAACCTCCAAGCTTAAAGGAGGATCCTTGATCAGTCTAACCACTAGACTGATCAGTCTAACACTACACAGCCGCAGAAACTTTGTTAGTGCGTTTCAGGTCACGTTATAGTGATTTGTATGAATAAATATATTCCCTACAACTACCCTATCGTTTTAACTGATTATCTGCATTTTCATCAGAGCATAGACAACTTGATAGGAGACAGAACAATGCTTTAGTTAAAAGAGTAATAAAGAGTCTTTACTTGCTATATAAAACATATTTCGTAATGCTTTTACATTAATTTCAAACCAATTCGACTGAGGGTCCTTCAAGAAAAGAGCGTACCACTTCTTAAAAGGCCGCTTATAACAAAATAAAAAAGAAGGTGACATGTTTTGCGTCTACTGCAATCTTTGTAGCCTTCTTCTAATTCCAAACCTGATCGGGTCTACCCGGATTCAGCCCAAAGCCTGTGTGTCAAATAGATATAATAGAACTTCCTACCGACAAACATGAACGTCGGGACAATTTTTTTAAGGCAATGTTAATTAGTTCGTAGTTTCTTTATTTAAATACAATATTTTGTGGTACACTTTGTAAAAGATGATCCAGTAGTGTATCTTCTACAAAATGTATTTTTATAATTTGTAAGTAAAACTATACTAACAGATAATAAATCCTAAGGATCCCTACTGGTCAACACGGCAGGGTGTCATTAATTCTATTTGTTGTCTGTGGAGTGATAGCCACGCAAACATCAAACACTGGCACTCATGAAGAATACATCGTATTGGATGCCTATTAAAAGTGAGTAATTTATTTTCATTTGTGCTCATCGGTTAAACACGAATTAGGAACTGGCATATTCATATAAAACCTTCACTAAGCAACTGTTTTTTTAAAGCTCTTCTAAGAGTATGAAAGGTATTTATCGCTTGTATTTATCATTGTTTATTTATTTACTTACAGCCCATGCATGGCCAAACTCAGACTAAAAATATATAACGTATGGCTTAGGTACACGAATGCTTACATATTATAGGCGCAAAGGAAATTTGGTGATCTTATAATGTTAGTTCACACGCGCGCTCAACTCTCCACATTCAACGTGCACATTTACATTCACAAGCGAAAGGGTACGCCCGACCCCCCCCCCTGAACGCGCCTGTCAGAACGTGAATGCGCGAATCGGGCAAGTGTCGGTTTTTGGCAAAGTTCAAAGGATGAATGTCGGGCCCCTACTGTTTACACCGGCAGGAGTCAGTCTCTCCCCGCTTTCGCACGAGTGGATCTTCATTCAACGTTGCTAAGAAAGTCTACATCAATTACAACATGGCGGAATATAATAATTTTGTTTCTTTTTCCAATAAAAATAAGTTAAGCCAAAGGATATGGCAGCAACAACACCAGATCCTCCTGCTCGCCATTCTGGCACTGACTGACACGACGGCGTCTGAACAGCTAATGTCCGCCCCGACGGCTGCATGCCACCAGAGCTCGGACGCGCGCGGGCATAATGTTAAGATGTTTGAGTATCGTGGACAGCTGTATTTAGCTCACTCAAACATAAGTTACCGGCCCAGAGAGACATATTACAGAATGAAATCCGCGGACGTCGTATTTTGTAACGATGTGAACTCAAAAACCTGCGAACTGATCTACTGCTTTCATAAACATATGAGTGTATATTATAAAACGATTTATTGAAGAAGTCGCTAAAAATAAAGCCATATAACACGATATCCACTGAAGCTGCGGAAAAAGCTAGTTTCATATAAAATCCAAATGAGACCTTTGACCGTCAAATAACTAAATTGGAGAAATAACATTTCTGTCTCGTTAACTTCACTAAATAAAAGTAATCTCACAGAATAAAAACTTTATTGTTCTGATTAAAATGCAAACGCTTGAGTCTTAAGAGATTTACAAAAATGCATTAGGAATACTAAATTAGGGCAAGAGAAAATTACTGAGACTGGAACTAGTTATACAGTCAAACGCGAGGTCGCGCTGGAGCGTTTCTTAAAAGAAGTATTTCATTTAGAATTAGTATTTTATTGTATCGCTTACAATAGCAGCTTAGGACTAACTTATTATCTACGTTATTGAGACTTGGAGCTAAACAGTTCGTGAGAATACGCGTTATTCCATTATATATTATGACATTCCCCTTATACTATAAAAAACCGTGTTGTAAGTTTATAACTACAGATACTTTAGTATGTGGAACCAGTTGTCCATTGAAGTATTTCCGAACCAATTCGACTTATGTTCCTTCAAGAAAAGATCTTACCAATTCTTAAAAGGCCAGCAACGCACTTGTGAGCCTTCTGGCAAAGTGACTGTCCTTGGGCGACGGCCATTTAACATCAGATGAGCCTCTTGCCCATTTGCCTCCTATTAGTTTAAAAAAAGTGATATGAAGGTTTAAATAGATTCGATTTAGTTAATTAGGTTGCTTTGGCGCTTTTTTGCGTTTCGTATTTATGTTTCTTGGATAGAGTATTAAGTTTTAGTTTCTTTTTCTACGTTCTAATGTTATTTATAATTATTATATACCTTTCTTGTATGTATAAACATGAATATTGTTTTTATAATGAAATAAATTTGTCTTTTTAAGTATTTTACAAAACATACACCATAATATAGGAGTATGTTTAAAAGACATTTTTAAATTCAGTATTATTTACACGGGTAATTTAAGATATGGAGAAAGTACACCCTACTCATGAACTATATCTAATACGTAGAAGGCCAGTCTCAATAGAAATTTGCCGCCGTGTGTGACTCGGCCAGGTGATTATTTTATAATTTTCCAGGGAACAAGGTGGACGTTTCAGAGTTAAAGCCTGCAAAATCGCCGGCGACGTTTCGAGAATCGTTACGGGCTACCTTAATAATTGGACAAGCATTCTCTTTGATCCCAGTTATCGGGGTCTTTAGAAGTACCTCGGATGTCAGGTGAGGTGTGAATCGGTAATTGGTATATCGATTTGTTGGCGAGGTCTTAAGAAAAATTTTAGTTTGAAAATAGAATATCCTTGGAATGTTTTCTCTACAGTAGTTATTGAATGTGTTATACTATTAAAACTTTTTATTTTTAGTTTTTTTTAAAGTGAGTTGAGGTTGAGGTTTCGACTTCTGGCGAAAGATTAAAGAATATGTTTTTGTGTTAGGGTAAACATAAAAAGCAAAATGAGCAGTGTTGTCCAAGCGGCTTCGCGGTGGGACTCTCATCGCTTAGGTAGTAAGTTCGAACCCCGAAAGTGTATGTACTTTTTGTCTATGTACGCATTTAACACTAGCTCGTACGGTGAAA